AGGTGCCTCTATCAATTTAATGCCTCTCTTCGTCTATAATTTAATTTCCATTGAGCCTTTGAAGGAGACGAGGGTTACACTTCATCTCACCAATAAATCGATTATCTATCTTGAATGGCTCCTAGAGAATGTTCTGGTAGAGGTAAATGACTTAGTTTTCTCTGCTGATTTTTATGCGATCGATATGAAAAATGATCGTAGCAACACTGGTTCTGAAATTTTCCTTGGTCGTCCCTTTTTTAGCACGACAAATGCAAAAAATGACGTTCGAAGCAGTATTCTTACCATAGAGTTCGACGGTGAGATCGTAAAATTTGACGTTTGAAGTTTGCGATTTTTAATCACAAGGCAGTAATTTGGAATTTTGGTCCCCATGAGAAACCCATCGTGCACATGAAACCAATAGCAAAACCAATTTTCCTCATTTATGCTCACGTTAGCAAAACCACCCACATATTCAAAACATTTGTTTCATTAAAAAACCATTTCTCCGCGTGAATTCTTTACTCCAATTTATTTCTTTTCCTAGCCTTCATTCTATTCCCCCTTATTATATCTCTTCACCCTTTTCTCAATTTAAAACCACCATTTCCCCCTTATTATATCTCTTTCCTGGGCCTCACACTCATTTTGAATTCAATCACTTACCCACCTTTCAACATTTTGGCTTAGCCACACATCCTTCTCCATCGAGCTCGCACCATTCACCGCTGCCACCTACCAAGGCCACCATTGTTCACCGATTATTGCACGTCCCAGTTGGCAGCCGATTACCACCATGGTTCAAACAAAATAAAAATAAAAACATGGTTCAAATAAGGAATAAAGAAATCGACGATTACTTTTCATCGATTAATCGCGGACACCATTGCTCAATGTTAAATTAAAAATTTTTAGGTAAATTTTAAGCTTACTTTTATTACCACAATACTGATAAATTACCCTTTGGTTTTGCAGAAAATTTCAGTATCGATCCTCACTCTGACGATTACTCTTCTAAACTGCCCCATCGTCTTTATTTGATTTACGATCGATCGACATTAATCGGGGAGTATTTTCACCCTCTCTCTTTTGCATTTTATTTTTTGTTCATATTGGGGCAATATGATTTTAAGTGAGGGGTGGAACTAGAAATCAAGTTAACTCTTGCTTATGCTTTGTGATTGAAATTGAGTTATTTCTTGGTTAGAATTGTTGATAATATTGGTTTTCGATCTCTTGTTTGATTTAATTTACTTGTGTTTCTTTGTGAATTCAATCTTAATCTTGTTGAATTTAGGATGCAAGATAACATGACATGACTCATTGATGAAATTTTTTCTTGGTAATTTTATGAATTTGTTGATTGAATTGAATGCATGACTTAATTTAATAAATCTTTCATGTGTGTTTTGAGCTTAATGAGCATGTTTTTTATTCTTGCTCTTTGTTTTCAATTAAGAATTCCGAACTAATTGATTGCATTATAGAACTTGTAACTCGAGGCTTGTTGAACTACACATTTTTGATTATGATGCTTTTATGTGATAGAGACATTAGGATTAAACCTATTTCTCTTCCCAAATAAAATAGTCTACCCTTTTATTTATTTTTCCCCTTAGTGAACCATTTTTTAGCCTTATCCTTTTCCTTGTTCACCACATTTTTTAAATCTGATTTTATTTTCCCTCTTTTTGTTACCATTTTTCAGGACAAATGTGAGGTTATTTCAAAAAAATGTTCGAAACAGTGCAGAATCGAACAAAACGGTCCAAAAATTTACCTTGTTCGAACAGTAGAAAAAACCAGTGCAGTTTGGTTTGAACAATGAAGAAATTCAGTGCAGGAAAATTCAAACAATACAGTTTTGATTCGTACATTGCAGAAATTCAGTGTAGAAAAAAATAGTTTGGTTCTAGCAGAAAAAATAGAAAAAGAAAAAAAAGAAACATTAAAAAAAAGAAAAGAAAAAAAGAAAAGAAAAATAGAGTGAATAAAGCTTTGTTGAATTTCTTGTTTCTCATTTCTTTAATTTTTTCTTCCCTTTGAATAATTCTTCGAAATAATCTCTACTTTGTCTTGAATCCTTGAAATCCCATTTTCGGCCTTTATCCTACCCGAACCTTAGCCCCGCTACAACTTGTTTTAAAGTCCTCTTGATTTTGGCATCATTTTCATATTAAGTAGTGGAGATTAGATTTAGTTACAAGCCTATGGTAATGTGTTGATTAGTTTAGGCTTGAGCGATTTTTTCAGGGTAAATAATTGAGCGAAATGTGTAAACCATTGTGAGGAACTAAGTATTGTATTCTTTGAAATTGATGGATGATTGAAATGAAATGGTTGATTTGCACTTAATTGATTATGCCTTGCTTGATTTATCTTGAATTTCGACATTTACTTGGTTGAGTTTGCTTAGAAATCTTGGAAATTCTATGAAATTGGTGTTGGCGACTTGAGGTTTTTAGCATGATAATTGAGAAATGTTTGAGGACAAGCATTGAATAAGTGAGGGGAATTTGATTAGTGCTTCAATTATATATTATTTGGTGATTAATGACTCATTGATTAGCTATTTTAAGTTGTTAACTTGGACCTTTTCATTCATTTTCAATGCAGTGCAGTAGATTTTAGAAACGTTGCTAAAACTAATGAAATTATGCAATTTTTTATTTTCTAGAATCATGACTGGATTAGTGGGCATGACTTCTCTGATGTGGCATCCAGTCGGCAATTTCTAGAAGGTCCAGTCAACAGTGGCGTGAAGACCAAAGACTCAACCAAATTTTTGAATTCAAATTAAGATTTATTTAATTTTTATTTTAGGAATTATCTTTTTTTATTTTAAATGTGTCTTTTAGGGTTTTTGAGGACTATAAATACCCCATTGGGGTAAGCCTCAATTCATCATTGAGACCATTCACTCTTGAATTCTCTTATTTCTTTCTTTAGTTTATAAAGTTTAATTTTTCTTTAAAACTTTTCTTTTTAAAAATACTAAGTATAATTTCTATCATACTTAGCTAAGTTTTCCATAGTCAAAGGCTAAAGCGATGACTCGATTCTGAATTATGAGAATCGAAAGTACCTCATACCCTCTCGGGTTAAATTCTCAATTTTCTGGAAACTAGATTTGCAGATAGTCTTTCTTAAAATCAAAACACTTTCACCTCAAAAATAGATTTTGGCTTGGATGGCATTATGGTTTACGTTGGGATTATAGAATCAACTGATTCGAATTCCTTTGAACACATTTAGCGAATGGTGCACTAAGGAAAATTGGGATCGAGTTTGACTTTCATAGATAAATCATAATTCGAGTCAGGTTTTTCCAAATGCTTTTAAGTTGTTTTAAGTTAACAACGATAGTCGAAGTTAATCCGAAAAAGGATTGTGATTCCTAAAATAGATTTGGGAAAGTCAATCACCAAAGAGAAAAATGAGCTACAAGGATTGAACCTTACAAACTCAAACCGACATTTAACTAGAGGAAAAATCATATTCAATGATAGATTAGAATTTGAGGTACACGAAAACATGAGGCTAATTTCATCATATTGGTTTTTAATTTTACTTTCTTCAATTTTTTATCTTCCTTTGAATCATTATTTGCTTATTCAATTTCTTAACAAACCCCCTTTTTACTTTACTTTCATTTTTTCGCCTAGATTAGAGATCAAGAACAATCGTTTCAATATCTTCCTTAGTCCATGTGGGTCGACTCTTACTCTCTTTATACTATTATATTTATTTTTAATGAGATTAAGGATAAATTTATTTGACAGTGAAAATGACTCGTTGTCAATATCCTTATTTTACAAGTGTTATAATAAATTTTTATATTTTTTATAATTCTACTAAGACTCACCAACTCTCAAATCTATTAACCTTTTTATACTTGTATAGATTAGGGATGAACATAGGATTAAACCTAATAGATTTTGATTCTATTTAATTTTTGACTTTTTAAGTTTATATTATATATTAAAGTGAAAGCAAGAAAAATGTTTAATGGCTAAAGTTGTGATTTGACTATGCAATGACGAGTGTCTAGAGATGAAAAGATGAGAGACTTGTAGTGGAATTTCACCATTTTTGATGTTGAATGAATAAACACTTTTTTATTTTGGCCTCATGAATGGCTAAAGTTATTATCCCATGACCCCTTAATTACAACTGAATTTTATTATGATTATTAATTTTAAATTTTTATCAATCAAATTAGTTAATAATTTAAGTGTTGTCAGTCAAGGAATCAACGGTTAACATTTAACAAAAGAATTGACGTGATTGTTAAAAGAACTAATATAATTATACATTTAATCTTTAAATTTATATATTCTATCAATTTATATACAATTTTAATTTAATAAATCTCTAATTAAATTGTGACACATGTTATCGTCCGATTAATGTGTGAAATAAATTGAAATAAACAAGCAATCAAACTTGTTTTTACTATTTTTTTAACTTTTTAGTATCTTATCTTATTTTATTGAATAGTATTTTAAATATTTTTTAGTTCTTTAATTTTTTTTCTTCAAAAATAAATATTTTTAAAAAAAAAATAATTAAATTTTTAAATTTTAAAGAATCAATTAAGTCTTTCTATCACCTAACCCTCCACTATAGAACATTGCATTAATATGTGTGTCATTACGTCGTCCAACATCAAGAATCTATCCTGCAGAAAAGGTCGCAAACACTGATACTGGTTTATGATTTTGTTCTGAAAATGAATAAAAGAAAATAAAGCCAATTTCTTTTAAACAAAAAAGTTGTGGGGACTGAATCAAATCAAAGAGAGAATCCAAAAAGGATCACGAAATATCTGTGATACACTTTGATTTTAATGTTAGTTTTTTTTTACCACGGATGAATTCTTTATTTTTCCTTCTGATATCCCATTGAAGGGCTCCACTTTCTGTCCCACCACCAACCTTCATATTCTTGTTGTTTTCTCTATAAATACAATCTCTCATCACATCCATACATCTCTTGTGAGCTTGTTTATTGGTCTGGTCACTTGTATTAAATTTATGACCAGTTTTTAATGCTATACCCGGTTTTGTATATAACGCCCTGCAAGGCAACAACAGTCCATAAATATGTTATATCAAAGCATGGATGGTGGCTGTTCCGGCGACATGGCGGCCGAGTTCGGAGACGAACCCCATGTCTTGGCGGTGGATGATAACCTCATTGATCGAAAACTGGTGGAGAAATTACTCAAGAACTCCTCCTGTAAAGGTACATTACATTTTAGTTTGGACCATTTCTGTAAGGAATTTTGTTTGGTGTTGCTTCAGTTTATACGTGTGTGTCTTTTGCTGCAGTGACAACAGCAGAAAATGGGCTGAGGGCATTGGAATATTTGGGTTTGGCAAGTGATAAGAGGAATGCCTTGGACGGTACTGTAAGTAGCATAATATCCCCTTCGGACTCGGATTTAGAAATCGAATCTCAACGTTTACCAACTTGTTTATGTTTGAAATGCCAGGTTTCGAAGGTGAATCTAATAATAACAGATTACTGCATGCCTGGAATGACAGGCTATGAGCTGCTTAAGAAAATTAAGGAATCATCGGTACTGAGAGAGGTTCCGGTTGTAATCATGTCATCGGAAAATGTTCCGACTCGAATCAGCCAGTAAGTTTCCTGGAGAATGCAAGATATAGAAATAAATAAGCTTTCATTTTTATTATAAGATTTCTGTGTACAACAGGTGCTTACAAGAAGGTGCTCAGATGTTCATGCTGAAGCCCCTGAAACAGTCGGATGTTAAGCGATTGGAGTGCTATCTGATGAGATGCAGAAGCTGAGATTTAGGGCCTTTCGAGGGCTAATTTAGCCATTGTATCAGAAACATTTTTGCTAATTAAAATGATCTTTCAGATGCAATTTCGTCCCGTTTTTTGAATCAGGAGTGGAGTTTTATTCCCTTTTATGTACCATGTTTGTGTATAAATTTGTGCAAGGTCAATGAGTCAAATAATACCCACTAAGAACTTGTAATATTAGAAAAATAAAATTCATTTCAAGAAAGAAAAAAGAAAAATAAAACTGATGAAAAGGCATCATTTATTTCATTAATATTGTGTACACTTATATGATTTCTCCGGCTTCCTTCGCCCAGATAAGGTTGTAGGAAAAATTATTTTCCGATATAAGGCATCAACCATATTATTTTCTGAACTAGGGTTTCTTATTGTTCTGAAGACGCCGTGCACTCCTGAGGCCTTCTCAATTGGCCTGAAGACGCCATGCAGTCGTGGAGTCTTCTTCATTTGCATGAAGACATCATATAATCGTGGAGTCTTCATATTTAGCTTAAAGATGCGTGGAACAACTGATGTCTTTATATTTGTATTATTCAATTCACCCTAGACGAAAAAATAATCTCTAAATTAGATTACATTGAGAATTAAAAAATTCCACTTATATTATCTCATCCATTTTACCCGATTTCTCCGCATCAAATAAAAAACTATTTATTTAAAAGTATAACTGCTCTTTAACAACTCAACGCCATATTTTATGTTTCGATAATACAAATTAGAATAAATAAAAATAATGTACAATTTTCCAACAAGAAATGAATAACATTTTATTGGATGTGAAGAAGCCTTGTATTGCATGCCGATTCAAAAAGAACATTTATGGTCTTAAACATGCCACACGACAATAGTACAAAAAATTTGAACACTTTTATAATTTAATATTAATTTCAAAAAATTATATCGAATCATTATATTTTTATAAAGAGATAACAGAGAATTTATCATATTATTAATTTATACTGACGATATAGTATTGTTCAAAGTTAACTAGTGTTCCGTTTGTTAAACAATTAAAAATCGAGTAAAAGTTGAAGTCTAAGGTAGAAAAGAGGAAGAAGAGATGAGGAGAAGTTTGTATATATCTACAACATGAGTCTTATGTATGTCCTGATCTATATTAGACCCGACATTACTCGTGTCGTTAGAATGATAAGTTGTGACAATTTATAATGATAATTTATTCCTAAAATTTATAAACTATAAATATATAAACAGACGTCTTAATAACCCTACTTAAGGTAGTGAAAGATAAATTTACATTGAACTGAAATATTGCAAATCATGACGGATGCTATGTATCAATCACAATGATTTATGATTACATGGAAAATGATGTGTACAAATTAACGTTATCTGCTTGACGCCTTGTTCATTATTAGGGGGAAACTCCTAATTAGTGGAGCAATCCTCTCCTCTAATTATGCTTTCTCGTTTATTTTATTTTATACTATAATTTCCGAATTACATTTTAATTCTATAAATCTCTAAACTATTATCTATTGAAATTATTAATCTTTAAAAGTCTTTAACAGTATAAATGCCGATTGATCTAATAGTTTTTTTATCATTTAATTTAGGCTATAATTTTTAGATAAAAATAATTCCAAAACATCAATCAAGATTACCAAAATCTTATTAACGTAAAAGTAATTTTCTAAAAATATAATTCATTCAGTTAGATTATATAAAAATTTGGTCCATCTCAAAAATTATGTAAGCCGTGTACTACTTTATTAAAAAAAGACTCCTAAAATATTAGGCCCCGAATTTAAAATGTAGGGCCTTAAATTTTAGAGTTATGTGACGTATCACATGCTACACTTGTTTATAAATGGGCATTATAAAAATGTTTTTAAAAGATTCAGTTAAAGAATTCATTAGTAATCTCAGTGATAAAAGAGAGTGTTGTTCTCTCTAGAGATTTCAAATTGAACAACTATGCATGTAGAGTGCGTACGTTATTAACGAGTAATACAATTTCTATCCATATTATAATATGGTATTTTTTTATTAAAAAAATCTCTAATTAATTCAGGAGGGGTCCATGTGTCAAAAAGAACACAACTTGGTAGAACTGGAATCATAATAATTACAGATCATATGCATATCATTTGTCTAGTGCAATCTTGTCAAACACTGGATACATAGTTTTAATCTTCTAAATATACATGCACCCCTGACCCTTTGTATAGAGTTTTGGATAATTTTTCATTTGAGCTATTTTTATATTTTAATGTATTTTGGATATTTAGAAATATTCTGGGTAAGCTATGCGTTTAGTACATGAACTATCAGTTTTGATATGTTTTAGTATTTAAACCTTTGTCTTTTACAAAATCATACATAATATATAATTTTCGTTTCATTTTAGTACCCCACCATTAAAAACGTAATGTATTTAGTAATCAAACTATCACTTTTGGTTCGTTTTAATATATATACTTTTAATTTTTTCAAAATTTAACGTTAAATTTTAAACGAAACAAAAACTAAAGTTTATAATGGTGGAATACTAAAATGAAACAAAAACTAAAGTTTAGATATGATTTATTTTTAAAAATAAAAGTTTAGATACTAAAATGGATCAAAATTGATAGTTTAGATATCAAACGCGTAATTTATTCAAATATTCTTTAAGATGATACATATATTACTAATATAATATTTTTTTAAACGGGTATAAATAAAATTCGAGAGTAAATAATCTACATCCGCCGTTGTATGTATGTTTAGTCATCTTCGTTTACTATAAATAACATCATAGAAGGCAAGAATATGAAGGAAAAGCTAGAAAGAAGTTACTACTACAACTACTAGGTCCAGATAGCATTAAATTCATCAACATAAATAATTGTTATTAGTTGAGGTGGGAAGAATGGGCCTTTTTTTTCTTTAAATTCGAGGAAAAAAAGTTCAGCGGGATGGCATACACTGAGTGGGCCTATGGATCATAAGATAAAAATTATCAGTGATGTTGAGATATCATTATAGGATAATATTATATCATTAATATTATTATTAAAAATAAAAAATTGTCAAATCAATATATTTATTTATTTTATTATGACGGATGACAAAAAACATAATATTAGATATTATTTTATAAAATAGTTAGTGTCCAAAATGTAATCATTAAAATAGGTAGATGACTAAATACAAAATTTACCTAAACAATATATAGTGTAAATGTTTATAAATAATATATAGGGTAAACTACACATTCAGTACCCTCAATATCTCTTTTATTATACTTTGTCACCTAATTACTTTTTTTTTTAAATTATACCTAACGTTTAGTTTTAATTTTATTTTGAGCACTTATTGTTAAAAAAATAATGGTGATGCTGACATATCATCATAAGGTTATGCCACAATCATTGTGGAGAAAATAAAAATACCAGTCCAATAGTTCTATTAATTTTTTGATGGTGTGATGGAGGATCAAAATGAATCTAAAACTTAAAATCAGATATGATATATTGATATTTAAAAAATAATTGAATGACTAAAACGGAAAAAGTGATTGTTGAAGTACTAAATGTGTAGTTTACTCATATTTATCCAACGCCCGTTGTTCATTCCTCATTGTGGCAGCTGCCTGCAACAATGCAGAAATGCATCATGGATACGAATTTCACGCCAATTTTCAGTCTACGGAAGTTCCCATCTTTCCCCAGCCTTACTCAACTCGAACATCAAAGCCTTTATTCAACACGGCCACTTCACTAAAGCCTTACAACTATACTCTGTTTCTCCACTTTCAGTCTCCCATTTCACTTTTCCCTCTCTTCTTAAAGCTGCCACTTTCCTCTCTAACCTCAACTATGGAAAAACCCTCCATTCCACTATCATTCAATTGGGTCTCCATTTCGATCCTTACATCACAACTTCGCTTATAAACATGTATACAAAATGTGGATCTTTTTCTTCCGCAGTTAACGTGTTCGAAGAAATGGTTAAAGAGAAGGGTTTGTTAAAGATGTTACTTTTTGGAACTCTCTGCTTGATGGGTATCTAAAGTTTGGTAAAAAAAAGCGAGGGTTTGGCTCATTTTTACCAATGCAGGTGCTTGGAATATTCCCTGATGCTTACTCGCTCTCTATTCTTCTGGGTGCTTTGGGGTTTAAGGAAGGAAAGCAAATTCATGGTTACATTGTTAGGACTATGTTTAAGAGTGACCCCTTTTTGGAAACTGCATTAATTGACATGTATTCGAGTTGTGGTCGAATACTGGAGGCGTGGTTTGTGTTTGATCATTTAGAAGTTAAGAGCAATGTGGTTGTTTGGAATGTGATGATTGGTGGATTTCTCGAGAATGGATGGTGGGAATGGAGCTTAAAGTTGTATTCTTTAATGAAATGTGAGAATGTCAAGTTTGTATCAGAATCGTTTAGTATTCGTTGAGTGCATGTGTGTGTGGCGATGTTGTGGATTTCGGAGGCAAGTTCATTGTGATTCGATCAAAGTGGGATTCGAAAATAACACTTTGTTACACTTCTCTATTGAGCATGTATGGAAATGCCAATTTGTTGAAGATGCCGTAAACGTTTTCCATCAGGTATTGGATAAAGAATTGAATTATGGAATGCTATGATATCGACTTTTGTATTTAATAAATATCCTTATGTCGCTTTTGAAGTTTACAACAAGATGAGATATAATGTAATAACCCCGGATTCTTTTACGATATCTAATGTTTTATCTTGTAGCAGTATGATTGGAATATATAATGTCGGGCGGTCAGTTCATGCAGAACTAGTGAAAAGGCCTATAGAGAGTAGTACTGCGGTTCAGAGTGCATTGCTGACCATGTACTGTAAATGTGGTAGTGTTGGTGATGCTAATTCCATTCTTAGCGCAATGCGAGAGAAGGACATTGTTGCTTGGGGATCAATGATATCAGGTTTTTGTCAAAATAGGAAATTCAGGGAAGCTTTAGATTATTTTGGAAGAAATGCAGATAGAGGAGTGAGACCAGATTCCGATATTATGTCGAGCGTCATTAGTGCTTCTACAGGGTTGGAGAACGCAGATTCAGGGTGCATGATCCATGGTTATGTTATCAAGAGTGGTTTGGACCAAGATGTTTATGTTGCTACTTCCCTTGTTGATATGTATTCAAAATGTCGTTTCCCAGATACGGCTGAACGTTTATTCTCAGATATGCCAGACAAAAATCTTGTTGCTTGGAATTCCATGATGTCGTGCTATTGCCGAAATGGTCTGCCTGATCAGTCAATAAAGCTTTTCTTGAAGATGGTTAAGCTGGTCTTTATCCAGACTCTGTATCCATTACAAGTGTTCTCACTGCAATTTCGTCTATAGCAGCTTTACTTAATGGAAAGATCATTCATGGTTATCTTGTTAGACTTGAGATTGAATCTGATATTCAGCTGGAGAATGCATTGATGGATATGTATATTAAGCGGGTTCTTAAAATATGCAGCGTATATATTCCAGAACATGTCTCAGAAAGATTTAGTTACATGGAATTGCATGATTGCTGGCTATGGATCTCATGGGAATTGCATTCAAGCATTGTCACTATTTAATGAGATGAAGAACAGTGGGATCAAACCACGATGTGACATTTCTTTCCCTGCTTATAATTTTGTGAAATCAATGCCTATTGAACCCGATAGAGTGTTTGGTTGAGTTTGTTGTGCCTCCCGAGTCCATTCGAACGTGGAACTCGGCGAACTGGCAGCTCAACTTACTGAAATTGGAACCAGACAGGGGCAGCAATATGTTCAGTTGTTACATTTGTATGGAGGAGCTGAATTATGGGACAGAGCGGCAAACGTCGAGCAACAATGAAAGAGAAGGGATTGAAGAAAACCCTGGATGTAGTTGGATTGAACTGAGGGATAAAGTTGATGTTTTTTTCAGATCATCTTCCTGAGAACAAGGGAGATCTATGAGATATTAATAGCATTTGGGAAGCATACGAAGAAGGAAGGAGACGATTCTGAGATTATGGAAAATTAATTTTGAGTTGAATAACTCGAGTTGTGAACAAAAAAAAAATTCAAACTTTAAACTTTGAGTTCAATTCGAGTATTTACATTTTATCTCAAACTCAGCTCAAACTTTGAAAATAAACTTGATCGAGCTCAAATATTCTTCAGCATGATCTGGATATATCTGATAATTAGTGGTACAGTACATGTAACATGAATCACCAGAGCATTCGAGTTTTGAACCTAAAAAATCCAGATTAAATTGCATATAAATCGAGCTTGGATCCTGGGAAGACATCCTTTGTTTTATTTATGGTTATTCAAAATAGCTGCTATAAATTCAGATCATATAAATGATTGACCAACTAATTTTGCTGTTCAGTCAAGAAAATAGTCCATGGAGAGATCAACATCTCACTAGCAATGCCCAAGAGTTTGGATTTCGCTGCCTTGTGCTTTCAGATCGGCTTTAAGATAAAGAATGCTAATCAAGAAATCAGGTTCCACGGAGGGCACGGACACGATCTTGAATCAAACTTCCTCTCCCAATCTGCTACACCCTCAAAAGCATTTTCAGGGAGATTTTCAAAGGGCTCCTTCCATGGATCATTCTTAGCCAGATCATAGGTGGTCCTTGTATTGCTCTTTTATTGGGTCCACAGGTCGTTTTGACGTCAGTGCTTCATGCTGTATTTAGCTGACAGTTCCAAACGGAAACTAATAAGCTAAAGACAATTATGTCACAGAATTCTTTTTACTCGGACTCAGTAGAAGTATCAGATACAAGTATGTGCTTCACATATAATATGTTTCTAGGTATTTTGAGGGTTCTTGCCCTCTTGGAGGGCCGTATCAATCACCCATCCCCATATGTACATTTATATGGGTATTTCAAGAAAAATGAAGAGTTGGATCAACATAGGTAGAATTTACGACAGTGGATGATGCAAATAGAAGAGTTAAATACTTACGTTCATGCGGCAGAACCAAAACATATAGGCAATGGCCACTGCTGGAGCTCTCCCTAACCCAGCTGTGCAGTGCACATATACTTTTCCTTTTCCCTCAGAAATGGCCCATTCCAATAACGAACAGCTCGGGGTAATATATTTCTCAAGGAATCTGGATCAAAGTCTCTTGCCTACCAAAGCATAAGATAACCGAATTAACCCATGCATCCGAAAACATTAACTTCTTTACAAGTGATTATTTGATTCATTGAAGCATCATATGCTAACAGGACCTGTTCAACTTCATGTGGGGTGTGTTCGAAATAATTCATTGATTCCTGAATGAATAAATTATTAACTCTAAGTGAGAAAATTTTTCCTTACAGGTTTCCTCATATGATGAATTCCAAGTTGTCGACATCTTTCGATTATAGACTGCAGGTCGATTTCCCAATACTCGATGTCCTTGTCCTGCTGCAAGTTCAGAATATAAGCTACCTTCTCTTCTTGTTTCAGATGATCTATATCTTCGGGTTTCTGGGGCTGAGAGCCGACAATCAGATATCAGTTATCAGCGTGTAGTTCATGCCTGAAAAAACATGACATGGATTATCAGAATACTTTTATCAACATTTTTCATTTTATGAATTAGTAATCACATTAAGGTATTTGCACAGCAAATATACTTTTTGCGCATAGAATTAAATATTGCAGATCAAGAGGAGGTCGCATTGTCTTGTAAGACGAAGTGTGGAAGCGTATAAGTGGACTACTTGGAATACAACATACATGAAAAATTCAGAACAAGAATTATTGTCTGTGGATAAGTGAAACAGATGAAGCCTAGTTCGTAGCTCCAGAATAATGGCAAATCTTGCTTAATATATATATGGTTTGAGAGGAAAAAGCAAATGTTCTACCAGATAGATGTCACTTTGTAGATATAGGTAGTAGAGATTCTAAACAATTTTTTTCCCCCCTAAAATTACTCAGACTTGGATGTGATTTTCAAATGCAGGAATAATCAAATTTTTCTATGTTTTGCTACAGATTTGGAAGGTTTTAGGGATGTGTTTCACACGTATTTGAAGAAGAAAAATGAAGCAACATATCAACATAGGTGTTTTGCTAAATTTTTCTTTTACCAGATTGTATAAACTCCTTGGTTTGCCTTCTATCAAACTTTGAACTTAGTTGCTAAGCTGAGAGATTTGGAAAGAGTGTATAACCACACTAAATCAGTGTATGAAAGCTAACTTTCCCAACAATTTTACAGTCTCAAGTAGGTTTCCTAATAAAGGCAAATAAAATACTGAATTCATCTATGCTGCTTCAGCTCCTCATTTTAATCGAAGTAAATGTGTCCGACATTGGTTTCCAACATATATCCAAATGGGTTTAAAGATGTGACATTTCAAGGAAATCTCTCGGATACATCGAAGAGTTAAAATAAATTTTGATCGTACTATAGCGTCAAACACTTATCATATCCGAAACTAGCACTGGAGTCAGAGTTGTGCTGCAAACAACACCATGGAGTGAGGAGACAAATCAAAAGTTATGAACAGAAGATGGATAGATGTCATACCAGAAAAAAGATAAATTCCATTAAATTTTAATCAACGCCCTTTATTTGTACTAATAAACATAATTCTACTTTAGAAGTTACAAAATCACATGATGCAACACAATCCAAGGTCAAAAAGTGCTTTTTGGATCTAGATCCTATTGCTAATTAAAATATAATTTCATCCAAACCCAGAGCATAATCAAGTTGGTTCACACAATCACCTTTACGAGTAGTGGTTACCAACAGGTTTAGAGTTCGATTCACAGCTCTCTGCAACAATTTCCTGCTAATTTCGTAAAATTCATTCGGAACTTAACCGAATTAATTCATACAGTTTCAGCTCTCAAACAACAACCCAAGTTAAAAAGAAACGTAATATATACAGATTCTAGCACACAAATCCTTCTTCTTCTTCTTCTTCTTTTTTATAAAAAAGGTTATCCAAATATAACCTTGCAATTTGATTAGCCGAAACTATCGAAAGCCAAAAGAAACATGAGAAATGAGGTTATAGAAAGAAAGGCTAACCAAGATCATGATGATATTCATATGGATTCCTCATCATTCTCTTCATGGCAGTGTTATAATCTTCCAACCTGTTCTTGGACCCGACAGAAAGCTTACTATTCCTGGGATCGTCATCAATTCCAGTCCCGGTTCCGGACATTTACAGACGATTCTAGGACCACCCATTTTAGATTGCCTCTTTGGGACATGAGATTGAGTCTACATTTCTTTTTTGCAGAAAAAGTTGGGTTCCAGATGGGTTTGGAATACCGAAGAGAACAAGTGGTGCTGTTTACGGCACTCATTTGTGTTGTTCTGTTTCTTTGATTTTGGGTTTGTTAGATTTATAGTTTGGAGTCGGCGATTACTTGAAAAGGCTGCCCTTTCTTCATTGTCACCTCATTTCTCTTATACTCAGATTACCGTCCATTATTTTGGGGCCCAAATTGTTCCAATCTAGAATTACAGGCAAGTATCTCTTAGCTCTCATCACCAGGTTTTAAAATTATATTATGATCATTTTCGATTGTGTTTTGTTTATTGTGATTATGACAATAAGAAGAGTTATTATAATCATTTTCAATACTGTGATTATGTAAAATAATAATTTTGGATAACAAGTTTACTACTCTTCATATTACGAATGATTAAATATTCGGGTTTTTATCCAAAAATTTAATACAAGTTCGATTGAGTTCAAAACAATAAACTCTTCGATACGAGAAGTTTACAGATTATGTTGTGTCAAGCTTGAAACGACAATTGTACATCTGAGAGGGTTGGCACAACTGAATTGAGATACCATTCAATGCTATGAAAAGCGGACACCACCAAGCGAACATTAACAAAGAGGTAACTAAAACATGCAACTTCCAAAATCCAACAATGAACTGCCAAACAATGATCAAACATAAACATTAAATTCTGCAAATACAGTTGCAGATGGTTCAGGACGAAGACGTTTAGGACTGTTGATGCGGCTGACCTTGCCAAGCCCAAACAATGTCCTTGAGAGCTGGTCTAACATCCTGTTTCAATGTCTTTTGAAACTCCAATGTGTCACCACTGGATTTCCTCAGCTCTACCAAGTGGAAAGACGGGGTAAACTCGAATATCTCAGCATCAATAGCCAACGCGCCTTTTCGACCTCCACTGGTTCCTTCCATTTTCATCAGCCCACCTTGCTTCTTAACTTTCAACTTCAAGTTCTGGGCAATGTCCCCTAGTTTAGATGTTATGGAAGAGAACGTATGCGTTGAAGTGAATTGCACTTCCTTCTTCTCATCATTTTCTACAAATAATCCGGACAGATCGAATCCACTCGATAAAGAAATGATGTCAAAGGCATTCAAATTAGTGAGCTTAGCCATGTCTTCTTTGCTTCAAATGCATTGTAGTTAGTCTCAGAACTAAAACTGCATCATCTCAAAAGGAACCAATGCCTTCTCAACTTTATTATGAACTGGTTTCGAGTTAATCCTTTTCTGAACCATGGATTTGTCATTATTTTGCGATTGAATCCGAGCTTTGGGATTTGGATGAGATTCTTGACAACAGCTTGGTCACTTCAGGTGAAACCAATTTGGAAATTTGTATTCTGCCTTGCTTATTTTCCGTAGATTGCGATTAGATTCGTATCATGAAACGGAAGATAACCGGCCAGCATAACATAGAGGATCACCCCACAAGACCAGATATCAGCTTTGGCTCCATCATAACCCTTTCTGTTTATAACTTCAGGAGCTACATAGGCAGGGGTTCCACAAGTTGTGTGGAGTAACCCTCTTGATGCTTACACTCGGCGAGGGCGCTCAAACCGAAATCCGATACTTTAAGAATTCCATTTTCATCCAGGAGTAAGTTTTCTGGCTTCAAATCCCGATGATAAACACATCGGCTGTGGCAAAAATCAACTGCACTGATCAGTTGTTGGAAATACTTCCTTGCCATGTCTTCTCTCAACTTCCCTTTAGATAACTGGTTGAAGAGTTCACCACCTCTGGCATATTCCATAACAAGTAAATCTTGCTCTTGCTAGCCATCACCTCATAAAGCTCCAAGATATTCGGGTGCTTAACCAGGCTCATACCGGATATCTCCCTCTTAGTTTGATCAATCATCCCTACTTTCAAAACCTTCTCCTTCTCGATGACCTTAACAGCCACACTCTGGCTGGTTTCGATGTTCTTAGCATGGTAAACTTTGGCAAAGTTCCCTTTCCCCAACAATTTTCCAAACTCATACTTTTGCATCAGAACCTTCCCTTTGTTTTCCATTCTAAAGTTCAAATCCTAACACACTCCAATAAAGTTTTATCTCCTGCTGTAATTAAATATATATACTATCAGCTAAAGAGCAGGAGTGGCTACTGGTGAACTCAACCGTCTTCAACAAGGTCATCTGTTAACATGACAGAGATTTCACTTTCTATTCTATTAAGAATTTGGACACAGGGAATGGATCTGCAGTCTGTTGAGCATCCGACATCATCAAGAACGAATACAGGTAATTCAGAACCGGAAACAAACTTATGTGCTTCGGATAAAGAGTTCACAGCATGCAAGCACATTTTTTCTGCATTCCCTGGTCCTGTCTGGATGCTCTCTGAAATACACAACAAATAGGTATGTCCACAATTATTCAATCAGCCGGAAAGCATTACATACACACACATATTTATTCTGAATTCATGCTTAAGTAGAGAATTGAATAGAAAAATCACTACAAATATTAGAACAACGAAGTTGAAGAAAAAGAATTCAATGATGCACCAAATTTCTCAACTATTTTATGGTAACCAGTGATACCATATTAACCATTGAACACAATATGTTCGACGAAAATTTCACACTTCAGTCATAGATGTTCAGCTTTGAGTCCAGAGTAGGATTGCATTTATTTGTAGGCCTATTTAAGGCGATGAACACAATAACATGTTAAATGACTAAACGACTATCAATTAGATTAGCTGTTTTTTTCGATGACTTCAGCGCAATGGCAAACATAATGAGTGTTATCATGAACAATTACGGTGAAATAAATAATGGAGAGAGCCGGAGCTTAAATAATAGTCACAGCCAATAGAATTCATAGCAGATGACGATATAGGCCAAATGAACTGCAGAAATGATGGATCATATGGCAGAACAAGGCTTAGGTAAAAGAAACTTAGCAGCTAGTCTTTTACCATTTATCCTAGTTTAGGAAACCAAACTTGTGAAGTAATTTCTCTTATGGATACTGGAAAAATAGCTAATAAAGGGTGTTTTGAAGATATAGAACCAAACCCTTAAACCTAGAACAATATTTCATCAACATAATCAAAGGTTTTAGATAGTCAGATAAAGAAATAACAGGTAAGAACAAAGGCAAAGCAAACAAATCAGAGAAGATGACATTGTTTCTTGACAACATTTAAAGGTGAGCATTAGATTCATGTTAGCTACGATTTAGAAGGGGGGAAAACAGAAAGAAACATTTAAAAATCCACCAGCTTGATTGAAAGCACATGATTCAACGAAGAAAACTCTGCCAAAAAAGAGAAGGAAAGAGAAACCAATGAAATTTAGGAAGAAGGAACTTACACTTGTGAAGGAAAAAGAAAAAGAGATAAACTGATCTGTGAGAGGAAGATGGCCTTTTGATGAGGAGGTAGTGGTGGGGGAGGAGAGAGGGAGATTAGAGACACAATGTTGCTAGAACAAATACAATGAATGTAATAATTGGGGGTTCCTAGTTTTGAACTATATAAAGAAAGGCCAATCTATGTAAGGTATGCGTTAGAGAAAAGCCTGACTTTTCAACTGCAGTCAAAATGCAAGCTTTGCAGTTGCAGTGGGGGTGGGGGTGGGTGATAAAAAGGCTACTTTGGGAATTCAATGTTAGAATATGCTTCAAATCTTATACTTTTTGCTTCAAAGTTCAAACAAAATCATATACTTTTTGCTAGGTATAAAAGGAATATAAACAACTTGAATCCATATTTTTGTTTTCCTTCTAAGAATGAAAACAAAACTTCACCTTTTTCTTTTTTTCTGAAATGGTAGGTTTTGTTGTCAAAACAAATGAAATGGTGGGGTTTCCTTTTCAAAAACCACACTTTTTCTTTTCATTAATGAAATTGGAACTATTGTTGAGGAACACTACTGATCCTACAAAGCAGGGGCTCCAAAAACTGGTTTGCCATTGCAGACCACTCGTTCGCAGATGACATCATGAAACATGAACTGGTGGACAAAAAAGAAACCATTTGAGTCTTGATTGGACTTTATTATTGGTTTCATCAAGACAAGGTTGAATGTTCTAGCAAGTTGCATGGACCCACATCCTAAATTTGAAAAATGTAGGCAATATTTTTGTGTGGTTATGGGGTTGGTAGTGATAACCTCCTTGCTGGTCCCATTATTGTCAAGGCCGAACCATCATGATTGTTAGGCTTCTTTCGTTCGCATTTCTTCTTTTCCTCCCTTCTCAAATAATAGAGGGAGATAAATAAAAAGGTCATGCAAATGCAGTTTGCACCAATTCTTAATTGATTCAGGATGTGTAGTTTTGCATTGAGTCTGGTGGTTGCCGGTGAGTTTAAAAAAATTCCCTGGATGTGCATGATTTGTACAGGTAGACCTCACCAATCTTGTCGACAGGGTGGCATTTGCATATATGGAGGGTGGAATTGGTGATCGGAAGGTATGACATAATATATTCTGGCCGGGAATTTAGTGGAAATTGCCAACCATTCTTAACTATATTATGATAGGACTTTCAAGCCTTAAAAAATCATAATTAGGACACTTCATTACAAACAAACAAACCAGTAGGTAAACAACCTATAATTTATAATTTTTAGGCTAAACCCAATTGATAAACCAAGGGTCAGATTCTATTTGTGATAAAAAAAGGCTTTTATAAGCTAAACTGAATCTGTAATCTTCAACTTCTTTGGCATTTTTTTTTCTTAAAAAGGCTCATTTCAGCATATTCCTCTAAGAACTTTGGATTAATCATTTTAAGACGTAAAGAAGTTCAAAGCTGTTATGATGATCATCAGATTTTGTTTGTTTTTAGCACTCTGCAATGGGATGGGATCAAAGATTGTGATTCCCTGCAGCATATTTATATCTTATTATCATGTCCTTTTTATGAAAGCTTAACATGAAGGGAACATTATCTATACTGCAAGTTTATGCTACTTCCGACTCTCGTTTTTCTTGAGATATATTTGTCTGACACGTTTAATATATATACGTATATGATCCTCCAAAGACCCTCTAGATATATGAAAAACTTGAAAATTTAAACAAGTCCGTTTCAGATATAAACTTGCACTCTCACTAGAGCATAAATACAAGTTAGGAACTGAAGCTG